AAGCATTGTGAGGCTAGTGCCAGGGCCGGCGTGTTCATAAGGCAGCACAGGCGGCTGCCTTAGGGTGCACTGGCCCAGGGGGTGCTAGATTAGAGTGACCTGGCAGGAAGGAAGCACACAGCGCTTCCTCATTCTTGTCACTCAGTGTAGCATGGCTGAGCAGAGCGGACCACAGTACAGGAACTTCTGTTTCCTGTACCTTGCCGAACTGACATGAAGTGCTCACTGAGAGACGCTAAGGGACGGGCGGTGAGGGGACACAAAGGGACAGGGGAGGGAAGGGAGGGGAGAAGAACACTAAGGGCTATGGGGGGGGCACTAAGCACAGGTAAAGAGGGGGAGAGGAACACTAAGGAACAGGAGAGGGAGGAGAGAGGAACACTAAGGGAGATGGGGGGCACTAAGATACAGGTAAGGGGGGGGGAGATGAACACTAAGGGACAGGGGAGGGATGGGGAAGGAACACTAAGGGACAGGGGAGGGATGGGAAAGGAACACTAAGGGACAGGGAAGTGGACCTCTAATGGACAGGAAGGCGAGGGGACCACTAAGGGATATGAAGGGGAGAGTGGCACACAGGGAGGCCTAAATGGGGAGAAAGACAAACAGAGAGACATGAGGGGGGAGAAAGACCTGGAGGTAAGAAAGACGTACAGAGGGGCTGGGGTTAAAGGGAGACACATAAAATGGACTGGGGGTGGAAATACAAAGGGGATGGGGGTGAAAAAGACACAGAGGGGCTGGAGAAGAGGAAGAAGAGACTCAGAGGGGCTTGGGGGAGTAAGACATACACAAGGGAGGTGTAAGACACACAATGGGGGAAATAGGGGATAAGATACACTAAAGGACATAAGACATTTAAAAGGGGGGATAAGAAACAAAAGAATGGTTAAGAGGCACACAGGTGAAGATGCTTTGCCTGTGTATTCAAAAATCCTTTCACCGGCCCTGGCTAGTGCACATGTGCATCAAAATGCCAACCATCTGATGGAAATAGCTGAGTTTCACTTGGCTATTTCGAAGGAAGCAAGTAAACATTGCGGTTTCTAAAACAACAGGGACATTGCCCCCAGACCACTTCATTGAGATGAAGTGGTTTGGGTGCCTATAGTGTCCACTTAAGATTATAACAATACTCAAAAGAATCATACACACGCTTTAACCTTTATATATGCAGCTCGATACTAGTATTAGGTAAGGAGACAAGTGTCAACTCTCCAGGAAGCCAAACTGACTGACTGGGAAACCAGGAGATTTCCATGCGGGCTGCTGTACTCTGCGGCCTTTTGCAGCACCCAGCAGGCCAAACCATCAAAACCAGTGTCCAATGAAAGGATCAGACAGCATATAATAAGATAATGAATAATTTCAATGGAAGTATACCCTGTTCAGTGTGTTCCATGTGTGGCTATGGCTATATATGCATATATTTTGTTATGTGTGTACGGTTTAACAGGGAATCAAATATAAAGCCCAAGGCTACTAGCTAGGATTTAAAAATACTCACCACTACAAGCCTGGAGAGTCTATGTCACACTTACCAAGGGTGACTTTTTACTTGCCAATGGTTACTAGCAAGTGGAAATTTTAAACCATTCCTGTACATATTATAAGAATTACTATATATAAAGTATTAAGTATATAGAATGCTTAATACATTTATAAAACATGAGATTGAATGCTATAATGCAATGGGGGTTTCACATTCCTCAAAGGTTATTTTCTACACACCGAGCTGTAGAGAATAAAACTCAAAATGGCAAAATTTAGCCCAAAAAAGCAGAGTGTAAAAATTCTCCAGCTCAGGTATAGTCACATGTGGGCCATTTTGCAATTCATATTTCAATTGAGTATTACAATGTATAGTTTTTGCATATTTTCGAATAGTTTTTCCATACTTTCCACTTAAATTTTAGTAGTGTGGCCAGGAGCGAGGCTGGTCTGAGAAATTTTAGGTGACATACTAACAGAGCCGGCGCTACCATATGGTGGCATAGGCGGCTGCTTTATGGTGCAATGTCTAGGTGAGCGGCCAGAGAAGGCACACAACGTTCTCCCTACTGCCAGTCATTATATGTAGCATGACCTTGCAGACAGCAGTAAAGGATCCTATTTATTATCTACCCAGTCAGGAAGCTACTCGCTGGGAGATAAAGAAGATCTCTACTATAGTACATGAGGCCATGTTACAACAAGGGATAAGCAGGCACGCAAATGGAATGTTGGGTCGTAAGAAACCACAAAGGCACTGAGGGCAGAGAAAAGCAAACACAAAGGGACTGGCGGGGGAGTAGGGGTAAACACAAGGAGAATGAGAGGGAGATAAACACACATAAAGGGACTGAGGGGAGAAAGAAAAAAACAGGGGGGCTGGGGGAGGAAGAGACACAGAAAGGGGCTGGGAGGGGGAAAGAGACACGCAAAAGAGCTACGGGGGAGAAAAATGGGCTGGGGGGACAAAAAGACACACAAAGGTGCTGGAGGAGAAAGAGACCCACAAAGGGGCTGTGGGGGAAATAAGAGACAGACAACGGGGCTGGGAGAAGTAGAAGACACAGAAATGAACTGGATGGAACGTAAGAGACACACAAAGGTAGTTGTAAGATACACAAATGGTGGGATAACATAAACTAAAGGGGATGTAAGACTCAAAAGGGGGATACGATACACTAATGGGGTAAGGCATTGAAAAGAGGGCAGGGGATAAGAAACACAAAAAGGGTAAGAAATACAAAAGGGGTGAAGAAACACACAGGTGAAGATGCATTTTTGTAGTAAGAAAAATGCATTTTTGCCAGTGAAGCCCGGGCAAAAGAATTTTTAGACTCAGACACATGCACATTCTCTTTTTTTTTTGAGGCCCACCAGTCTCCCTACTTTTGGGACAGCTGGAGTGAACACTTTCCCTGGGATCTAGTGCTGATGCTATGATCTTTGTGCTTGACCTTTAGTGATCTTAGACCCAGAGTGAAGACATTTTTTGCCCCTGTTGTGAGGCGACCTAATGAGGCTCCATTTTGGCACATGGTAGCACCAGACCTGTGTGTAGCCAATAACCCTTACACAGGCCCTGCTTACTAATATAAATGTATGCAATTGGAATATAATTCAGAACACGAGCAATGTATCTTATTTACACAGACTGATTTCTAAACACATTTATTTTAAAGACACATTACTGGGAGTATTATTGCTGCAGAGCTGCGCTTGGCTGAGGGATATTAACATATAAAAGAGGAACAAAGGGATTTGGTCCCAACATACAGCCTGCCTTTAATAAACAGGGCCACTTGGGAGGTATGGAAGGTAATGAAGGGTGAGCTTCCATTGTAAGGAATCCATTGAATACATTGTATAAAGGTAATTCCCACACAAACTGTGCCTGGCATGTCACGTGACGCGCGCGGCGCATGCGCACTGAGCCCCAAAGTGCTGGCAAGCCGCCTGGCTGCGTGCTGACGTCACGCGTGACGTACGCGCGTACCATTCTGTATGCCGGGCGCTTGGTGGCTTCCGTGAAGGTGAGAGCGCTTTAGGAGGACCCCCATGAGCTACATTTCCCGCTGGTACAATGGCTACCTACACAGGCGATGGGGGTACGGTCTCCAAACTGGAGCGATAACCGCACTAAGGCGGACCCCGAGGATGGGGGGGGGGAGAGAGAGGCGGGTTAGTGCGCATGCGCGCCCAGAGACTGGGCTTTTACTGCGCATGCGTGCCGCTCGGCGCTAACTGCGCATGCGCAGTGGTTGTTTGTGGCTGTGCATTCCTATAGTAACGCCTACCTTTTGCCTGCGCATGCGCGCTGTGCTCCCTGCTACAACGCATGCGCAGTGCGACTCTGCAGAGCTTCACTCCTGCCAGATAGTGAGCACTCCTTGCACACCATAGACTGCCATAAAGTGAACCCCTCTGCATGCTGTCTCTTTTTATAGCAACAAAACAAAAAAAAAAGAAAAAGAGGTGTGTTATCCAGGGGGCTAGGGACCTGACACAGGTATGGTCCACCTCCCAGAGTGCAGGGACAGTGGGGCCCCTGGGAGCCTGAGTGGGAGTGGTTACAAGGAATTCAACCAGGAACTGACAGCTGATTAATACATGGGGTTGAATACTTCCTGTGATGTAGGGGGTGGGGGACATTTATAATATGATAATAGTAATATTGTGTGTGTCCTGTATATTCAGACTTGTAGCTGCATGAGTAGCATTTTATAGAAACTTATGTTTTTTTATTATTATTATTATTATCATCCTTCTAAAACTTTGACATTGCTATAGATGTGTACATAGTATGCGTAGCAATCTACAATTAACAGAAAGCTGCTACATTGTAGACGTTAAACTATTTAGAATTACTCACATGTGTGTATACATATCATACGAACTGTACTCTAAATCATTTCAAGCCGTGTAACAATTCTTTTATTCAATGTATATGTTGTGTGTGCTAGTAATGTTACCTTCTTTAATTTCATTATTTTAGCTAGAAAACGTGGCGTGACCATGTAAAATCATTGTCTGAATGTGTAGCTTATATGTGTGTGTAGGCAGAGTAAAACTGCTGAGCATTTCTGTTCCTTATCCTTTTGTACCTGATCTGTACTTGCATTTATGTAAGTTTACAAATATATTTATGAGTGGTTAACAAGCTTTTTCTTATTGTATTTGCTTAGGTATCCATATATCATTATGTGTTGATTGATCAAATTTGTTTCCCGAGAAGTTGGATGCAGTGTAAGAAGTTCAAAGTGGGACTATTCATTGCTTTCTATGTGCTAACCACATAATTCTTTCAATTGAATTACTTCAGTGTCAGGTAAGATCTATCCAAAACATAGTTCTGTATAGAGTGTGTGTGTGTTTTTATGACTTTCTGCTAGTTATTGGTGAATTAACTGGTGTATGGTTAGGCTAAATAGCTGTGTTAATGTTGGTTTCTCTTCTCAGGAGAAGGTCCTTCGGGTTCCTTTCTCCACTCCTTAAGAACCATCAAGCTGGCGATGTCGCGAGTACCAAGTCCCCCTCCCCCGGCTGAGATGTCCAGTGGTCCTGTGGCAGAGAGCTGGTGCTATACACAGGTGAGATGTTTATGCACAGCACTCTGTTAAAAATCACAGAATGAAGATTGAGGATTTTACACAAAAAAATGTCTGCTTTGTTCCTCAGATAAAAGTCGTAAAATTTTCATACATGTGGACCATCAACAATTTCAGCTTTTGTCGAGAGGAAATGGGTGAGGTTATTAAAAGCTCCACTTTTTCATCAGGAGCGAACGACAAACTAAAATGGTGAGTAATTGGAGTTACAGTTCGATGTGGCTAAAAGTAGTTTGAATGGAAATTGTATTTGTTAATAGTTGTAATCATTTGCATAAGGTGGTGACCAGTTTTGCTCCTGTTGCTATAACCCATAGGTGTTTACGTGTAAACCCTAAAGGATTAGATGAAGAAAGTAAAGATTACCTGTCTCTCTACCTGTTGCTGGTCAGCTGTCCGAAGAGTGAAGTACGAGCTAAATTTAAATTTTCTATTCTGAATGCTAAAGGAGAAGAAACAAAGGCCATGGGTTTGTATCTTATTCTTTAGTACCACTCACCTCTGCTTATTTGATTAAACCCTGCTTTTTAAAATAAAATAAACATTCTTTATGTCTCTTGTGTTGCAGAGAGTCAACGTGCCTATCGTTTTGTTCAGGGAAAGGACTGGGGTTTCAAAAAGTTTATTCGTAGAGACTTCCTGCTTGATGAAGCTAATGGATTACTTCCTGATGACAAGCTGACACTCTTTTGTGAGGTTTGGATAACTACTATGCATATTCTATATACTTATCTTTTCAAATGTGGACCAGTATGCTGGGCCTTTGATTTGCCACCTTTTGGGATGATTTAGGAGCTCAATGCTTTGAAGACCAGACATATAATATTATTATTAAAAACAGATGTCCATTCCAGAAAATATGAAGATGTCTCTTTAGAACATTAGTGTGGCAAGATGTTGGATTTCATTGCTTTTGTTAAAATGGCAAAGGCATCTGATGTCTTTGGTTTTTATATTTTTCTGTAAAGCATTTCCTAATTGGGCTCTAACATGGTCAAAGTCACGATAACACAAGATTACATTCTCCTTTTTTAACACAGGTCAGCGTAGTGCAGGACTCTGTTAACATATCTGGACAGAACACCATGAATATGGTGAAAGTTCCAGAATGTCGACTGGCCGATGAACTTGGAGGATTATGGGAAAACTCACGTTTTACCGACTGCTGCTTGTGTGTAGCGGGACAAGAGTTTAAGGCACACAAAGCTATTTTGGCAGGTCAGTGTCAAACAAATGTACACCAGTTGGAAATTTAAAATTTATTTAATAGTGATTTACTTATCTATGTGAATGGTGCAGGGGTATGTTAGCTTTATGTAATGACCAATTTTAAATGCATTGTCCTGCAAGAGTGGATTGTACAGACAAACCCTTTAGGGCCTGTTTCTTTCATTTGGTTTAGCACTTTCACAAAGTGCTGGTGTATTCCACCAGTGCTTCACAAGATATCTGTTACATCGAGGACTGGGTAATGTAGTTCACAGCGCTCATGAGTGCAAAGGCTTGCCATAACTAGTATGTTTGTTAAATAATTTTGGGTTTGTTTCTGGTTGCATACAGCACGATCTCCAGTCTTCAGTGCAATGTTTGAACATGAAATGGAGGAAAGCAAAAAGGTAGGCAATATATTTTGATTCAAATAGCGACGAGGTAGCCATTTTCCCTTCTCGCCACCATTGTTAAACTATTACACAAAAAATGATGACAATGCTCTCCTACATCTAGTATTGGTGTAGACACTAATAATTCAGAAATCATCAGCTCCTCATTCACAAAACAACTTGAGAAAAATATGTGCATGTGGCTTAAGGCATCAGCTGATGCTCTCAGCCAATCAGTGGCGCCGCTGTCCAAGGCTTGAATTAGAAGGCGAAATCGGAAAGGAGAGGGCCAGAACTAAGCAGCTCTGGATTCATTACTTTGGGGTTAAAAGTTTAAACCCTTAAGGTTAGCCTGCGATAAAAACCCTCCTGGCACCATGACATCTTGATTCCGATGAAGTTGTTATGGTGCCTGAAGGTTTCTTTTATAAAGACTCTTTCAAAGCTGACACACTCAGCCAATCACCGCATAGAAGGAATGGTCTGCTGGGAACTCTCAATTAAGTGATTGAACGCTTAATGGATGGATGGAGCCTGGGTGCCTTCTATCAATATAGATTTTATATATATATATATATTCTAGTCAGAAAATGCTTTTTACTTTTTTAAATTTTTTTATTATAATTATTATTATGGGGAATTACTGAGGCTATTAGTCCATCAGCATCGCCAGGTCCCTGGCTTCCTCATTGAAACATCAGACTTGAATAGAAGTTCAGGAGCAGCGTAATTAGATGCTGGATTGAAAGCCTTGGGGTTAAACTGTTTAACTAGTTAACCTCTTTGCGTAAGCCATGGCCTGGGATCTACTCGCACCATAACAAATTCATTCTGATACAGCTGTTTTGGTGCCTGGAGTGGTCCTTCTAATGCTATTTTAAGATAATTTATGTCGGGGATCAAAGTTTCCCTTCCTCATTATTCATAGGTGAGTAAATTCAGTGCTGGAAAGTAGAAATTGACCCCTTGGCAGTGTACTATGGACCCTTCGGGCTTGCAGTGGCGAGAAACCTTAAGGCGCAGCTAATAGTAATGTAGTAAAGTTCAGCTCTGTTCTATGCTGGCAAGTAACAAGCTAAAGCCCATGTGGAAATAAACTCTTTAAGTTGAAAAGTAAAGAATTTGAGTTTGCTACCACCTGATTATATCACCCTGACCTCACAGTGTGGTCATACAAAGGTATTACAATTTATTTGCAGGTGGAGCTAAGTGGAGATATATGGAAAAGAGTCATGTTGAATTGATCTATTTGCACAAAGTATGTTTGTGGATTTACTGTTGTAATTTTCTTGATACACGTTAGGTCAAAGTCCTTTGATTATTCGTTTAGCATTAAAAAGACCTTTATACTGAGCATTAACAGATGTTTGTTAGGTTTATACCAGAATGTTGTTCCCATGTGGAGTAGACATAAAATTTGAGATTTGTCAGAGATTTGCAGTTTATTTATTAATATAATCGCTTGCTTCAGACTCAATTTAGATAAATTGAATAAATAAACACTTGTACTGTTGAGTAGAATTTTCACGTTTTATTTTACGTAGGGCCAGGATTTAGGGGTTAATAGGTAAGGTATGGTTGAGCTGGGAATTTCAAACACTATCTTACTGTAAATTGCCCCTTTTTTTTAGCATAATGTTTTAATGATTGTAGCCTTACCGACAAATCGGTGTGTAAAATGCAGTTCTTTAATATGGTTCCAAAACTTGTACTGTTATTTTTATTTCAGAATCGTGTGGAAATAAAAGACGTAGAGCCAGATGTTTTCAAAGAAATGATGTGCTTCATATACACAGGGAAAGCTTCTAATCTTGACAAAATGGCAGATGATCTACTGGCTGCGGCAGACAAGGTAAAATTGAGATGGAAATATAGTCAAAACGGGAGGGGGAAAAAAAATTTAGTTGGGTAGCTCACACGTTATGAGCAAGACAAACAAAAACCTGTTCAATTTGTTTTACGTACATTAACCATCTGCTCGTAGTCAGTGTAATTTAATGGAGATAGTGTAGTGAGGTGCAGTGTGCATTGTGTATAGATGTGTTTATTGCCTTTGCTTAAACTAATTTAAAGGGACACTCTAAGCCAAAGAAATTTTAGCGTTATGAAGTGTGCTTGGTGTATAGATCATGCCCCTGCAGTCTGACTGCTCGATTATCTGCTGATTAGGAGTTAAATCACTTTGTTGGTGCAGTCATAACCACACATCTCTTGGCTGAGACTCCTTTAGTCTCTCTTCATATGCCCTTAATAAAGTTTAAAGTTTTAGCTTCCCTTATTCTTTTAATTCAGAATTTCTTTTCTTCTGCTTAGTTAATATCATGTTGGAAATTGCAGGAGCTTCTTGCGTGTGATTAAAGGTTCAATTAACAGCACAGGGGCTAAAAACATCAAACATAAACAAACTGTGCTGTAAGATCTGATTGACAAAAATAAATAAATTCATGGAGGTTGCATGAGTCACAGCCAGGGTAAGTGTGGCTAGGGCTGAAACAAAAGTAATTTAACCCCTAAATGGCAGAGAATTGAGTTGTGAGACTGCAGGGGTATGATCTATAAACCAAAACTGGAGCGTCGGTTTGGTGCTTGGAATGTTCCTTTAAGGTAGCAAGGTACGAGTGCGCAGTCAATAGAACTTGAACGGGATACTTTAAAATGCGTATGTGTTGGCTGTAGATGTTAAATGTAGATTTGGAGGGGAGGCTTACATGTTTGTACAGGGAGAGGAAAGCGAAGGCAGTTGATTTGGCAGAATTAAAGCTATTAACAACTAACACTGCGTGTTCATGCAGAGTGTCATTATGGCGTTTGCTTATTATTGGAGCTAAAGCAGTGTTTCCCAAACCAGTCCTCATGGCACCAACAGTTCAGGTTTTGTTAGTTTCTCCATTGGAATAATAAAAGAAAATTCATAAATCCTGGATTGTTGTTGGGCCATGACGACCCGTTTAGGAACCACGGAGCTTAGAGCATACAATGTGCTCTACTGTCTAAAACTGATACCGGTCAAGAAAATCTTGGAAAGAAGGGAAATGGTGGAAGGAGATGGTGTAAGACCTGTCACAATGACTTCAGTTACGGAGATACAATGTTGTACTTTGCGATAGTGTGAACGTACTCTGTAAGGGTGTCTCACAATAGGGCACAGAGCAACGGTGAGTCTGTCAGTATGAATGGTGGTTATAGGAAGTATGGTGTTCTATAAAACAAGCATCCATTGGGTTAACAATGTTAGGTTGATCTATTAATGTTTTGACCACACTGTATTTGATACATGATAAAAGCAGAAGGGGTTCGAAATACAAGCACAATGGAAGTGATCATAAATAGGAAGGAGACATTGGAGTTAAATTGGCAGGGTTTGAAAGATAAGACAATGAGATGGATTTTAGTGTAGTTCTAGACAAACCATGTGACTTGATTGGGTCAAATGTTAAGGCTTTGCCAATAAGGAAGAGGGGCTTATGGCTGATCACGTGGACACATGTTAGGATGGTCAGAAAGAAAAGAGTAAGCCTATTGGTGAGCAGCATGGCATTATTCGGATGGAGACAGTAGGAATAGCATTGGCAGGGAGATTAGGGTCATGACTGCATACTGTACACTGGAACAATTAATATGTATTGTAAAAGGGAATAATATATTTTGCCTTTTCACCCAGTGCAGTCTTTATGTAATGCCTTGTCAACTATGAAAGTTGGGAATAATTGTAAATAATCTGATTCATGGATGAATTTAATGTTGTGTGTGTGTGTGTGTGTGTGTATATATCTTAAAAAGCAGGGCTGTAATTATAATAGGATGTGTGGCTGTAGTGGAGTCATGCAATAAAGGGTATATATTTATATTATATTAAATACATTCCCGTATAGTTATATATTTGCTTTGGAAAGAGAAGTATTATAATTATGGAGTGGTGGAAGGAGAGACATTACGGTATATTTAATAATAACAAAACTGGTGTTTTGACTAGATTGACTCCTCACTCTTCAATGCAAGTGTCAAATCGGTATCACAATGTATATGGTATGTTAAAGAGAGATTGTCAGTTAGCAATTTTGTGGTTTTTAATTTTTATTTTTTTATTTTTTATGCATTAAAATTAAATTGGTAGGAGACCTAAATTAGTTCAGCAAAAGTTTTGTTATCCACAATTATTTTGACAAGAATGTGGTTTTAAATGCCTGTGTGCTTAATTGCAGTACGCTCTAGAACGCCTTAAAGTGATGTGCGAGGAAGCACTGTGTAGCAACTTGTCTGTGGAAAATGCAGCTGAAATTCTGATACTGGCTGATTTACACAGCGCAGACCAGCTCAAGACACAAGCTGTAGACTTTATTAACTAGTAAGTATATAATAAAAGGCATACAGTGCAGTTATGGTGGTATTTTTAAAACTCTGTATCTTATGTTAGTTTTTTTTCTTCTTTTTTTTTAAAAAAAATAAAAATATCTGAATGAGTTCTTGTGGTTTCTGTATACCCTGGATTTTTTTCACTATTGAGTTACGTTGATATCCAGTTTTCTGAGTTTCTCTAACTTATATTTTTCCCTCCTTTTTTCTTTCAGTCATGCATCTGATGTGATGGAGACATCTGGATGGAAGTCCATGGTGGTCTCTCACCCACATCTTGTAGCAGAAGCATACCGCTCCCTGGCTTCCGCCCAATGCCCTTTCCTGGGACCCCCACGCAAACGTCTGAAGCAATCCTAGACTGATTCTAATGGAAATCCATCTGTTCTTCTGGCCCCACTCTCTCTCGTCTTCTCATTGGATTAGAGACATTGGCTGATGTTTGGTTGAGAGAGCGGTTGCGGAGGTTTCGAGCTTTGCCTCCCTCACATTGTATGTGCTGACACCTTGTTCCCATGCCGCGTGGATAGACTTTGCCTCCTGCCCCCCTATCCTGACTAAAGAACAGATGGTATAATGGACATCCTTTCCTTGCAGAATAAAATTTTATATTTTATGGGTAGTCGGTAGGTTTACCGACTGGGACTTTTCCTTTTATTTATAAGAGCAGGGAGAAGCTTACGAGTGGCCGGGCCCTTCTCTCCCCAAAAGACGTTATGCAGTTTAGCTCTTTAAGGGCTATTATGAGTTTTCATCAGGTGCCATCCTGCTCATTCTTATGAAATTATATAATATTTTTTTTTATTTTATTAATATAAAAAAAAAGACATTTATTATGGGTTGGCCTGGTAGAGATTTTTCTGGTTTCCATTTTATCTTTCCCATGTGCTTTTGTCAACCCTTTACTGTGGTTATCATCTACTCCCAATAATTCCTTGATCTTCCTGTCATCAATGTTATCCTCCAGTACCATCATTTTATTCTGGCTTTTTTTTTTTTTTTTTAAACTCCGTACTGGCTAACTATAGCCAGTCCTATGCTGTCGTGCTTTCTGTTTCATTATACTTAGCCTGCCGCTACAGATTAGCCATCACAAATATAAAAGATAACTTATTTCTTTCCTTTTGAGGGGCAGCCGTTAATGCTTCAAAGCCAGTAGTTTCTCTTTTTAAAAAAACAAATTTTTCTGTTTTTTTTTTTTTTTTGAAAATATAAACAATTCCTATTTTGTACTGTGCGGTTTAATATTTTACATATCTAACACATGCAGTGCTTTGGACAAGAGGCCTGGGATTAAACATTTAATTATCACTTTGCTCCAAAGAAAACTGGCCCCTTAGACTTGTGGGTGGGAAATATCAGTTCTGAAAGGCTCCTCTGAGAATTTAAATTCAAATGTGATTAACCCATTACCCAGCTTCTGTTGTTGGACGTCTAGTGTCAATACCGGAGCTTTTGGTAATGCATTGGTCTGCTTTTCCTGCAGCCTATTGGTTAGATTAACCAGATAATAGTCCCTGATATAGTGGTTTCTCTCTGAATATTACACCAGTCAATCCTGTGTCAGTATTTAAAAATGATTTTGTCATCGGAAGTTTCATTGCATCCCATTAATAAGTCTTTGACGACAGATACTGTCAAAACCTATGCACTCACGGGTTTGTAGATATTTTCCCTTATATTAAAGAGTGAGTAAGTTAAAGAAACTAATGTGAGCAAAATGTCTCACCTGTCTATATATACAGGCTTTATTCACTTGTAGGAATGTAATGAATGGAACTTTGAATGGCAAAATATAAATGCTATGCCTATAGCTGAGCTGCAGAATATTTCCAGTTGAGCTAGTTTTGCCTAAATGTTACCATTAGGATTCTAAGTTCAGCGAAAAAATCCTTGTGTATTTGTCCAACCCTTACTCGCCAGCTAATTGTGTATACTTGCTCATTAATGCAGATAACTAAGAGGCATATTGAAGAGGTTAGGAATTGTTGTCCATGCATTAGAATTGGAAAGATAGGTTACCTGTGCCATTGTGACTGGTTCGAACCAAACATGCAAAAGCACTATTTGCAAACTGAAAGAAAATGGGCCTGCTACTATTTTCACCCTTTAGATTCACAGGAAACATCCGTAGGTACCTGGAGGGTTGCACTATTAAGAGTTAACAAGAGAATGGGCACAAATACCCCAAATATACCCATTATGACTGTTGATATCGGTTATACCAGCAATTAGTGCTCTGGTAGGTTAAACGCAGTTGGCTGCTGGGGGCTCTCGTATAGCATCAAAATATATATATATTTTTTTAATGCTGAATGAAATGATGGGACAAGGGGCCTCCAGACCCTATAACCTGTTCAGTGAGATGAAACAGATATATACCTACAGTGTCCCTTTAAGATCACAATTACTGGAGTGATGTACAACTGCAGCCAGAAATAAAAGGTCCGGGTCTAACAAATATTGATTTCTGCTGTGACTTGGAGATCAAAGTTTGATGTAAACCACGTGAATCTGTGGATTCCTTCTGCCATTTGTGTGTGGCACTTACTGGTGCACAATATGTTTTCTTTAGGCCCTTAAGTATTGTGTGTACAGGATTAGTTACAAGTTATGATTGTATCAAGTCATATTGGAATCTCTAAGGATGGGGCAGCCTGAAAGTGTAGCGCTACACTCTTTTATGGGAATTGTTGGTTGTATGCCTATTTTTTGGCCACCCCCGTGTCCTATGGAATTTTATGGTCCTTGTGGAACCCATGTCACAAGAAAATCAAGCTGTTGCAGAGGGAAAGTGGGGTCCATACACCCATTGCTTGTTACTGCCCATGCAAAAAAGAACAGTTTTCACTTATTTTGTTAAATGGATACGTATACTTTTCTGGATACATTTTTCACTCTAAGGTGAACATGAACTTTTACTTGTAGAAACAATAGGCCAAGGATTATCATCCAATATGGGTTTAGTTACAAATCACCAAAGTCTTGTGAATTGAAAGCGTAATTGCAAAATTTAGACAAAAACTATTTTAGTTACTTTTTAGTCTGAATTTTAAAATTAAATTCACTATATGGAGTTTAGTGAATAAAAAAAAAAATATTTTAGTTGATAAATTGTCACATTCTTTGCATTTTCAGTGTATAACTACAAAAAGGTCGTCACAATCACAGCTGGTAATTCTTATAAATGCACATTAAAATGCGTATTCAATTTTGAAAATAATTTTTTTTTTTTTTTTAGCACAATATGTACATTACAGTTGGGTGATTTTGTAAAAAACTTTTTCATATTAAATAATTGTTTTGCTCCATAAGGCCACCTCTCCCAACCTGTAGTGCTTCTCTTTTTTTTTAGGCAGGAATAAACATAATTAATTTACTTTCTGAGAATTATACCGCATCTGTTTCTACAATACAGCTACCCGTTGTACTGCAACTCTTAGAAACTTCTGTGCCCGTACAGCACTACTGTCTGAGATAAATAGTGCTATGGAACGTTAAAGAGACACTATAGTCACCAGAACAACTACAGCTTAATGTAGTTCTGGTGAGTATAGTCAGTCCCTGCAGAGAAAAGGCAGTGTTTATGTTGCTCCCTAGAGACACGTGTAGTGGCTACTCCTCTGATGGCCACCAGAGGTGCTTCCTGGGTCAGTGCTGCCCAGCATCTCTATGCTCTGCATGGAGACGTTGAACTTTCCCCATAGAGATGCAATAATTACATGCATCTATATGAGGAGATGCTGATTGGCCAGACTGATGTTTAGCCCTGTCCCCTCTCCCTTTTTCTATGGGAAAGCATTGGTTTGGTTGAAGTAATGACCATCGCCAGACTTGTGCAGGGCTGGAAATAAGGTAAGTTTTCTTACCTTTAGGGTGGGGACAAGCTACCTAAATGATAGTTTTAACATTAATGGATCAGGAATACACAGTTGGGGGGAGGCAGGCATACCACTGCGTACCAGGAACACCCTGCAAGACTTGCAGTTCTGGAGATGCGCTGACACAGTCAGAACAAAGGAAACTGCTGTTTGAGTAAATTGACTGATAGAGCAAAAAAAGGCATTATTTGCCTTTTTATTTATTTAAATTAATGGAAACCATAACTAACTGTTGTTGGAGTTGGGCAGTTTCTGACAGTAAAATAAAGGTTTTCCAGGTGCCGACTGACCACAGACTCTCTGTCTAGGTAGGGGTTGATTTGTACTTTCCAAGTCATCGAATAAGGATAAAATGCTTTTTAATATATTTGAATTATTTATTTCTCTATGGAAGGCTAAAATACAGACAAAGCATTCAGTGGCGAGATGGAGGCTTCAACATGTAACTAAATGTAACCAAATGTAACAAGGGAACGGGGGGGAGGGGAGATGGATACTGATAAGAAACAAAAGACTACATTTACTACAGATACACAAATGGAATACACTTTACATAAATTCTGTAGGATTGTAAATTCCCAGTCTCACCTCTTGGAGTCTTGATAGGCAACCGTTACTTGAAATCAGAGTATTATGACGTCCTGTCTTGACTAGGAGAGTCTAATTGTATTGTAAATAGGACCAGTTGTATCCTTAAATAATATCAAAGCTCCCCTGAACTGGATCGACTGCATTATTTTAAATGGAAAATAATATAGTGCTAGGAGTACAAAATGGACTCCTCTCTGATGACAGCTGACGTGGGGGACCTAATGCGCATGCACGGCGATCAACGTAATCATATTTGAACAACCCCATTGAAAAGCATTGACACCGCTATGAAGTTTTAGTTGACGCTGGATGTCCTCATTCATAGTGTCAGGACGTCCAGCGTCAGTTAGGTGAACAAAAGTCACCTAACTACCCTGAAGTGCCTCTAGTGGCTGTCTGGACAACCACTAGAGGTGGAGTTAACCCTGCAAGGTAATTATTGCAGCTTATCAATAACTGCAGGGTTGAATTCACGGCTGTATGTACCGCGAGGCTAACAAGGCATTTGCCTTCGGTGGCACTTTCCAGGGGGCGGCAAAATACACCTCCCCCAAATGCCCAAGCTAATGCCTTGTTAGCCTTGTTCTATGGTGGCGCAAGAGCAGGCAGCGTGGGAGCACTTTCCCCTGAGCTCTCCCTGCTCAGATCCCTTGCGCAACCCGCAGTGATTCTGGGAACTGGAATATGACATCAGTCCGGCATCACTTAGCAGTGCGCGAGATAACAGTTCCCTCTCCACCAACTTTGGCCACCTGCCTGCCTTCCTGCCTACCCGCAAGCCTTCCAGCCCACACACTCAGCAGCCGCACAGGACCCCAGATAAATAATCCACCCAGCTCTCCCAAAAGGAGGGAGCCAGGTTGGATTTAAATTTAAAAAAATATATAA